ATATGTTTTGTTTTACCTCAGATCCATCAACTTTTGGTGGTGGTTTAGCTTGAACTTGTTTCTTCTCTCTAGATGTGTCAGGCTCTGATTCTGATTGACTGCCTGACTCTGAACCAGACTCAGAGTCACTGCTACCTGATTGACTGCTACTTCCATCACTACTGCTTCCAGAGCTTGAACTAGATCCAGAAGCTGATGCTGACCCAGAATCATCATCTGATTGGCTGCAATTAGAAGTTAACAGGATATTACACAATGGCTAATTAAACAGGATTAAAAAAAAGTCACATTAAAAAGACTTTAGCTTCACCTATAAATCAATTGTTAGGTTGGCCCAGACACATGAATAGCATACAAATGAATGCACTGCATTAAACAAATCAGGAATGAAAATTCAGAGTTTAATCAGATACTTTTCACTAAACCTTAAAAGAAAAACAAGAAAGAAGGAAAAAAAAAAAAAGGCAAGAAAGAAGGGAGAACATTAATTATTAACGTAGAAGAGTCAAACAAGGGTATTTCTCACCCACCCAAACCCTTTCTTAGCTCTATCAAATCCCACATATTTTTGTGTATACACACACACACAATTGTGTTAAGTCTTTTTAGATCAGCAGTGTCCCCCCCATTTTTTGAGCATGCATTTCTTCAAAGCAAATATAAACTCCGTTTTGTTTCCCTAGTTTTACTTTTTTCATAAAAACAATAAGGAAAAAAGTATCTTTAAGGAAGTACTTGCAAGCTACATTTCTTATTGTGATTTGGACAAACTATATACAAAATACTACCAAATACTCGGTTAAATAAAGTGTTTATAAAAGCAACTGGAAAATCAGAAGTGTGTTGTCACACATAATATAAATCCGTGCAGACCATCTTATACTGTTAAAATAACAGAAGTAAAATTCCTCACACAGACAAACTCTGAATTTGTCACTGATTATATGACTTGCGCCAAGTCATATAATCGGTGACCTTAGCATATTCTTGAGCCACTGGATTATTCCACCTGTACATTCATGTCACATGAGATTTAACATATTTAAATAGAATAATATTTAAACATTTATTTCATGACTATTCAAAAACATAGAAACATTTGGTTTTCTAAAACAATTTTACAAAGAAACAGAGTTAAAACTTTAAATCAAATTCCTCATTAGGTTAAATACTACCATACTTTAGAGATATCATGAGGGAAAACATTTTAATTACAACACCACACAAGCAAAATAATTTTAAAATATGTACATTTGGGTTGCAAGCATTTAAAAAGAAACAAACCCCCAGTAAAGATAATACCAAAATCCAAAACAATAAAACCCCAAAAGCTAATATCAAAGTCTAAGCCTATCACTGCCAGCACAATTCATCTGGCTGTCAGCCAGCAAGGGTGTGTGTGTGGGGGTGGGGGGGGTGGCGGCAGCAGCAGGTTGATCATCTTCTGCACTACAACACACTTAATTGACAACATTTAAAGCCACAAAACAGAACCACTACTCTCCCTGTTGCTAACACCAATTAAATTGTACTAGTGAGGGGAAAAACGATGAATGAAGTTATTCACAAATCGATTCCTGTAGACAGCACCTCAACCAACCATCTGTGTCTGTTGACTTTGAAAGAAAGAAACAAAGCCTATAACACTAACATATTAACCTGACTTCAAAAATAAAAGCAAGGCACCCACTGTAGAATATGACTGGAGTTTAAACTATTTACCAGAAATTAAGGGCAACATCCATCGTGATTCACCAAAGGTATTTTAAATACAATAGTATTATTGTACACAACTGTTACCTTTAGCGTTGGGTAAATTAGAGTGTTATAAAACAATAGCATTTCTCAGCATAGCATAGTGCCATAGATAAATGTCACAGAGACTGTGGAAGATGGTACATGAAGAGAAGAAAATTCAGCAAGGAGAAACCTCGAGACAAGTAAATACCTGCCAGACAAGTCCCTGTGACAAAACGCCACCAAAAATGCCTAAATCCTACATTTAGATAAATAAGAAAAAAATCATGTCAGTAAGATTCACAGTTGATGGGAAATGTTAACAGTTTAATGTTTTTCAACATAGGAAGTAAGTGGCAGGTTCAAAAACAAAAGGATTGTGAGACAGAAAGAAAAAGTCTAGTAGATATTGCAAGCATTTGCTCAGGAGCTAGATGTAAAGAACTCTACTAATTCCAAATAATTTTCTTTATGAAGAGATCAACTAGCTATCATCTATGCTCTTCATTAAGTAATACCAATCCATCAACAGATGCGGATCATACAATATTCAGTGTTCAGACAAAACACAGACTCCTTATCTTGGCAACATTGCCTCTTAACAATGGCTGCCTGGGAATGGATTCCCCACTGGGCTTAGCAGGATCAGCAAAATAAGACCTATCTCATCATCCCTGCTTCTCACAGTAAATTGACCCAGTTTGGACATGAGGAGGGTAATATGACCAGACTGCATATCAACTAATAGTAACACCTGAAAAAGAGTAAAAGTTTCAAAGTCAGTATTCAACTGACTTATTAATAAATGTAAGATTCTACTACAAATCTGTAGCTAGAAAGAAGAGGGATGGGGAGATGAAGAAAGGAAAATACAAGAAACAAGGAAAAAAAAAATCAAATAATAAGGTTCACCACAATTGTTTCAGGGCTACTCCACAGAAACCCTCTACGAGAAAGAATGCAGGATCACTACTGTAGACTAACAGCTAATTTGTACTTAGAATAAAGAAAAAACAGAAAGATAAAGTTTAAAGGCCCTACCATCCACAAGGTTTTACTAAGCTGTCTTATCCCACAGTGTTAAATCAGCACAAGAAAACGGGAAAAGGCAAACTGAGCATCAGCAAATTTTTTTGAAAACAAGGCCTTGCTAAAACATTATTCAAATCTTGAGATGGCAGTGCTCATACATGCTTTAAAAAGTTTCAAATTCACTGGTAAGAAGTACCTATGGGAGTTCAAGCACAGAGGACTAGTGTGTACTGAGCAGAGTTTACTTCGACTCTAGTCATCCAAATTAATGCAGATGTGTGAAACTACACTAGTTTCCATCTGTACACCCTCTTACATGTACCACATATTCACAGAGATCTTGATGTAAATACAGCACACACAAAAAACAGACAAGATGAATAGCTGTGACTTCATTTTTACTGAAGTGTAGAGAACTTGCCTATTCATTGGCCACAGGATGACCAGCTGTGGAAGGCTCTGAGGACTATCAGCACACATTTAATTTATCACATGTTCTCACTGGGGGGAGGTCCATTTCTACCCTAAGCTTCAGTAGAACTTTGACTTGGAGACACAACCCCTACAAGGGCAGTATTATAACCCAAAAACCAGAAGTTTGTATTTGCAAAGGAGGTAGGAAGCAGGGCAATATATGAGTACATTCTACATATTCTGCAAGATACACTATAGATTGCTGAGATCGTACAAGCAGCACTGCATGACACAATACTTTTAAAACTCCAATAAACTGCAATAGTCTGTATATCAAAGGACTTTCCTCTGAGAAATATAATGGATTTAAACCAACAGAAATAGTGATGAGGAACCCTAGGCAAAACACACATTATACATTAAATACTACAGGATAAATGCTCAATTTTCAACATTAAAAAAAAAACACAAACCAAAAACAAACCCCCCCCCCAAACACCCCCAAAACGCAACTTTTCCAAACATCAGAGAGAAAATTGATATTCTTATTTCTACCACTGAGATCACTATAGTCTAAGAGCCAGAAGAGAACAAATTTATGCCAAGGCAAATCACTAGCTGTCACATATTTCCAGGTGCAGACTGTGTCCTTGTTTTTCCTGTACTTTGGCCAAACCTTAAAAAAGAATTTTTTTTTAAACATTCCTTCTTTCACAAAGTGTAAAACTGATATGCCAGTATTTCATGACATTCAATTCAACCGACTTTTTTTTTTTTAAATAAGAACTTAATAATAGCATCTTTCAAAGTCAATTTTACACTAACATAGGTGTCATGAAAAGGCTTAAGAACAAGGAACTCAGTTTAGCCACTCCCTCTATCAAACTCATTGCCTCTGCTCTCTCACAGAAATCATTTTTTATTAAACCTAGGGGAAAAAAAAAAAAAAAATATATATTTACATACACACATATACATACACACACACAAAAATAAAATGGAAAACTCATTCCCTAACCAAGCTATTTGGAGATTGCAGCAGTTGAAAGAAAACATCTTTGTACCAATACCACAAAAAAAAAAAAAGTCTCTTGCCTAACAGGACTACTTACCTATTCAAACAGAAGTTGAACGGAAATTTTCAGCCTAAGATTTATTTCTCAATTATCTTTAAAAGGTAACTACCTACATATTAGAATACGTACATATTAGAATATGTAGGTAGCATAAGAAACAGATCAGCATCAGCCAGACTACCAACTTGCATGATCAGCTTCTGAGATAAAGCAATGCCTTACTTGTTTTTGAAGTAATACTTGTAAGAAAGCAGCAACAAGACAGACAACAGACCTATTTAACTTTCAAAAAAAAAAAAAATTTTCAAGAAACTCTCCAAAATATGCCAAGGCTTGCTTGGAACAAAGGAAGAAGTGTTATTTAAAGAGGAGACTAAAAATCTACTTCTCTCACACCAAAATGTCTGCAGCATTCTAGCCACATCTCTTAAGCAGTGCCCATTATATCTTACTGAAAAACTACTGTAGCAAGCTACCATAGGAATAGTTTTCAATTTCAACTTCTTTTCAACACAGCTAACTAGCAGTTTGCTACACGATATCAATTTACCACCAGAGAGCATCCCTTTCTAGCATTTTGCTTTTGATATATGTACTTGGCTTTTTATTTTTGTTTCACTTGTCTAGTGCTGACCTAGTCAAAATTTAACAGAGTCATTACTTCTCAGTATCACCTAAGCAGGGCCCGGATTCACCCTGCCTCAGGACTTCATTGTAGCCAATTTTTTTGCTACAGTATTTTAGCTAATGTATTCAGGATAGAAAAACAGAACTCTCCTCCCCCAGCCTCCCCACATTTTACTGCAAACACAAAACTACTGGCACACTAAGGGGTAAAAAACAGTAATGGAGAGCAGCCTTCCTTTCTCCCCAACACAGAAACATTAAGCAACCCTTAGTTATTAAAAATTAACATAAATCTCTAATCCCTGTCATGGGATTACCTATGACCCTCTACCACATGAGCAGTAATTCAGATTAAACCCTAGTAATTCAGATGCTAACCCTAGAAGGAAGGATGGAATTATTTAAGGTACACAGTTACACACATGCATGTGTTTAAAAAAAAACAAAACAAAACCAAAACTAAATCATCTATCATCTTCTTGCTAATAGACGGGGAACTAAGGAAGAAGCAACTTCGAAATTTCACTTTAAATGCTCCTACATTTACTCTGAATTTCAGCAATTTTCACACAATTTGAAAAATGTACAAAGCAGCAGTATGAGCTATCAACAGCTGAAGCCAAGCACCTTGAAAACACAGTCTTGGTCCTCAAACAATATTTGCCTGCTGGTGAGTGATGCTCCATGAGAATAACTTATTTTGACATTGCTATTAATACCCTCTCCAACCTTCCCCCAACACAGCACCCCCTTAGTGGTGTCAGTGCAGTCTGTATAAGGAACAGATTCAGCTTTTAAAAAACATCCTACCAACTTACAGACCCCACAAAGTAGTGTAACAAGCAAGCACAATTGAACAAGGCAATATTTCTTAAGACTGCTGTCCTGAAGCCAAAGTATAAAACAGTGCAAATCAATACAGAATTTAGGAAAACTAACTAAATAAATTTCAAATGAAAAGGTTTTTTTTTTGTTGTTGTTGTTTTCAATTTTAGTACATGCACACACATTCCATATTGCATCATGAAAGACTGCAGATGCTTTTCCAAGTACTTAAAATGTTATGCAGTCTAATGCCTTTTCCCCTTTCTTCAAGGAGCATTACTGACATGACAAAAAAAAAAAAAACAACCAAAAAACCACAACACAAAGAAAAAACCAAACAAAAAACCAAAACCACTGCAGAACTCATTACACTGCAATATCTGCCAGCATCACTGTAAATTCAGAGAATTTGTTTGCCATAGTTTTAAAAATCTAATTGTTTGAGTTTTTGAAGCTTGTAGGAAAAGACATACAAGATATAGAAGTTTCATACACATTTCTAGCAGCTCAGATGACTTTTTTTTTATCTGCTAAAATGAATACTGTAACAACTATTATAGAGCAAAACCAATCATAACCAGCTTGAGAAAAGTTCACATTCTTTTGAGAACTTGAAAGACAAGCAATCTCTCACTCCAACAACTTCTATCAGCAGCATGCCACAAGTGGTTTAATCTTTCTTGAGGTTGAAAAGGAACGGAGATACAGTTTAAGAGAACATGTACATTTTATAGAAATAATCATTGCAAGCTATCATTGCTAACCAAGCTACAAGTGAGAGTGTTTCAGACTATACCAAAATTTGATTTTAAAATAGTTGTTCCATTAGGGGAAAGAAAAAACCCCCCCCCCGCCAAAACAACCACCCCCCCAAAACACAATACACTTTCATGATAGCAAGACTATTTCCTTTCATCCTTTTATTAAAAGAAGCAGAACCCAAGTTCTATATTAAAGGTGTTTAAAATGTAAATTTATGGAAATAATAGCTGTGAGGTAGTCATATTTTAACATCCTTGTCATGTTTTCTTTTC